TTTTTTTAATTAAATTTTTTTATGGCGGTACGAAGTTCGCTGGGTCAGCTAGTATATATATATATAATTGTTTGTTAAGCATTGTCAATTACGTAGTTTGCTTATCCAGCGCATCAATATTAAAATTGCTTGACGTGCATTCAAAATTCACGTGCTTCTCAAGCATTTTTGATCGTCTAGGGAGCCCATAAGAATTTTTATTATTCGAATAAATACTACAGAATATGGAAATAAATTTCGCGTAAGTAATTTAATGATTATTAACGAGTTTTTTTTTGTGGCTTAAACTTTATTGAATATCTTCTGAATCTATAAGCTTATCAATGAAAATAGATAATAGTTTTTAATTATAGTTATATTTTTTTTAAACATGTAACTGCTTGATGTTTAAATCTAAAGAAAATATAACTAGAAAAATTCCATGCGGACCAGGCAGCAGACGGGATCCGAACCCGCACCCTTCGCTAAAAATGTGGAACGCTTCACGATTTTGCGTGCGGGTGCGGGTTCGAGTCCCGCCTGCTGCCTGGCCCGCGTGCAATTTTTTCTAGTTATACTTTCTTTAGTTTTTAATTATGTTCGATTGTTCCTAGTTATTCATATTGCTTATATTTAGAAAGAAATATTTGGTTGTTTTATTATTATTCTAAGCTTTTTCCAAAAAATAATATATGTTATAGCAACGAAACGAAAAAAAAAACAGTAAAGTTGAACAATAACTATTACCCTTTTCATCCTATTTATATGCCTAAATGTAACAGTTACCTTGTAAATTCAGTAAATCAACGCTTTCCAAACGAACAAGAATGAGCTTTAAGTCCAACACATAAGGCATAATTTACTGCCACTTGTCGTGGAAGCGCTACGAATGGTCTTGCTCCGGACACTCGTGCAATATTGATATGATGCCTCTAGAATTCATGTGCTATTTTTATTTATGTCCGACTACGATCTGTTGAGATGAAAATTTTTGTTCCCTTGCGAATGCGAGGTATATTGGTCTCTGCCATAAAAAAACGGTGCCCGCTAAAACGTCCACCCAAGTTGTAAATAGGTATCTACCTTCATAACTCAAATCAATTTTTTTCTACTTTAATACGATTAGTATACAATTCAAAATTGAAATAACTTGACTTTTTGTGATAATTAATCTCGCAAGGCGGTGACTGTACCTTTGTCTCCGAGTGCCTAAACGTATTCAATAATTAGTTTAAATTATAGAATACCCAGCAATAATTATAGAATTTTTATATTTGAAATCTCAGATTACATAACTCGGTAGTTTTGAATAAAACATGATTTTGACCGATACCGTAAAAATCTTTATAAACAAAAATGTAAATGCTTTGATGATGATGGATTGAATATAATAGCTTTAATAAGCTTTAAGAATTGAAAATAATAGTAAGACAAAATCCTTAAGTCCTTTAAAGCTCTGAACATAGGCAGTATTCGTTTTTAAAGATAGAAGCAGTCGAGCTCGAGCAAAGGTCATCTTAGCTCGAGCAAAGTAATACAATTATGTATCCACCAAGTGTCGCACAAACTATGAGCATTTCATTCATTTAGTATGCATGTGGTGTGAAAGGCATAGGCCACAGTCAGTAAGCGCGTTCTGTCTGTAACTTTCGTAAGGGCAGAATATTATTGGATGAATGACCAAAAAATTATCTTGGGCTCCACCGAGGATCTCGATGGCGTATGTGGCTAGCGCTTTTTTTTTTTTTTTATATGTTATAGGGGGCACACGCGCAGACGGCTCACCTGATGGTAAGTGATCACCGTCGCCCATGGACACTTGCAACACCAGGAGTATCACAAATGCGATGCCGGCCTTTAAGGAAGGAGTACGCTCTTTTGCGTTCGGCAGCGATCGTTGAAGTTAAGCAACTTTCGCAATGGTCGGTCATTGGAAGGGTAACCAAAAATCTGGATTTGCTCCGTGCTTCGGAAGGCATGTTAAGTCTTTCGTCCCTGCTGCATCTGCAGTCGTTAGCACCCAGTCCGGATTGGAAATCCGCACTGGGCCCGCGTGATGGGTCATGACCCAATCTACCTATTCCATCCATAGGGAAGGCCTGTGCCCCAGCAGTGGGGACATTATTAGACTGATGATGATGGGCCTCTCCATGCTTTAGAAAGCACATTAAGCCGTTAGCCCCGACTCCATCTGCAGTCGTTACTATTTCATTCACCCTACCTATTCACCCTATTCCATTCATAGGTAAAGACTATCCCAACCCCAAAGAGGTCCCGACAGTAACGATAATGATGGGCCGATGATAATTCATGTTATGTCAATAACTGTACGTGTACAAAACAGATTTCAAGATTATAGTGAATTTATAAGAATATTATAGAAAAATCCCAAACTTATATTTGGCTTAACTGTTCAAACAAAAGTAAAACTCCGACAAACATAAATTATCACATTAGAATAACGAGGGCAGATTCATTAGATAATTAAAATATTTGCAAAGGAATAATTCACAGGAATCTGGAAAACGTGGTCTGTGTACTGTCTCGAAAATCCAAAATGTAATGAATGAAGAAAGGAGTGCAAACAACTTTCTACTTTGCGTTTCAACTCGGATTAGATTAAGATTTGCATCCAGAGAGAGCTATGCTATTATTTGGTGTAAATACTATTTTGTTCACATTTTCAATATTATATATGCATATAACGTCATATGCCGAGTGATCATAAACTTATTATAAGGTATTTTTCCATATTTTTTGTAATTGTTACAATTCTTAATATACTGTCGCGCCATGATTATTACGCGTGGCAAGCTAAAAAATACTAGGAGTAAAGTCAATATGGCCCAGATTAGGCTAGGCATCGAAACAATATCCTTTACCATTCGGCAGTATGCATTGATAATTTTATTACCGAGATCTTAACCTGGTTACAAGGCAAGGATAAAAGCCTGCGCAGACAGGGGACTTCTGTCCGCCGAAATAGATCGCTTGCAACTGCATCGATAAACGCACACAACGGATTAAAAGTACCCCGTATAAACATTCTTCCGAACAACTGAGGACACTGAGACCGGGCTGGAACAAAGTGCGCGGGAATCCCCGAAAATTAAAAATGTATAATAACTCTTGTGACTAGGCGCAGCAACACACACAGCGAAGTCCAGCCACGTTGCGCGCTCGATCCGATTCAAAGATATAGACCCAGCATCCTCTTTTTAAATGAAGTCTCTTTTTCTTAAAATTCATGTTAATTACAATACTTTTTTATATTGAGTAGCGTTCTGCGCAGACATAAAAGTTTACCCTTTGTTCCAGTTAAACGTACGGGATTGCCCAATGGTGCCCCATAGAACTAGTTTTGCGAAACGACATTTCTGCATTATTAGCTCTTATCTGTATAATGCAATAAACAGAGCCTTAAACATATATTCGCTACTTCTCCACGAATGCTAGGTGAAACTTAGACTGGCTGTTGCTTCTGAACTTTGATGGGACTGAAGAAATTGTGCGCTCAATGTTAACTGTTTTTCATTTTCTGATTTTGATAAGTCAAGATAACTATCCCTAGTCCCAAACAAGGACCAACAAATCCTCATACCACCCCTTCCTTTCATGGCAACTAACGAGAAATCATTCGTGTACATGGAGGCTGAATGCCCGAAGTTGAGGTCCTGGTACCTCTGCGAACGAAAGATAAGTACTCAGCTCCGTGCGCAACCGGACTGCATACAGATGCTCATCACAACGCAGACGCTTAGCGAATCCTGCCAGTTCACTTCTGTCTCCTTAGCCAAGGAAGCCCTAGAGAAGCTCGACGATCAACACTACGTGATATCGTTCCCACATTCAACAAGGGTACAATCGACCTGCAGTAGCCAAGACACCACATCACTACAAGGTAGTTACCTAATCAAGATCCCATTAAAGTGCTACTTGAAGACAGCTGAATTCACCATTATCAACGAGAATGATGAGATCAACGGCCAGCCTCTGAAGCTCATGAAGATCCCCTACAGCAATGCAAGTACTATCAAACCGAAACACCTTAAATTGGACTCTATAGATTTGCAAAGGCTACACAGCATCCAGAATAGAATCATGACGGAACCAAATCTACAACTGAAACAGACACAGGAAGAAGCTCTATATCATACGACAATCCCTTTTTACGTCGTGATCCTCTTAAGCAGCATCATTTTAATCGCAGTCTTTATGAGTCGAAGACTTAAAATCCGGAACTACAAGGAATCTGAAGACCAAACCTCAAATACCAAGGAGCATACTTACGAAGATCCTGAAGTAGCCAAGAAGACAAGACAGGATAATTCCATGCCAGCGACATTTTCTCTGAAAGTCCTAAAATAGTCGCTGATCTCGGGGTGGAGGAAATACGTAAATGGACGTAAGGAAGATCGCTTACGTAGCAACCACGGCTTATGACGATGCACCGACACCAAGGCCAAGCTGCCACGAGTTGCCGACGCTGCATTCCTATGCTGTTCAATTAATTAATATTTCGAAGGCATTCTGGTTCCGACCTCGAACCGATCGTTAGGTTATTTAGACGTAATTTTGACATGTAAATTTTTCTTTTCTATTAAAACTCATATAAAAATAATTGTTTTTTTTTCGATCCTCCGGCTGTAACAAACGTAATTAACGCTTTCATTGTTTGTATTTTGTTTTCACTGAAGTTGGAAGACGCAGGCAGCTGTGCCACTGTTTAATACTATTGCAGCTGCCGATTTTAACCTTTTAAATATGTGTTCCTTTTCTATTATATGTATATAAATAAGTTATAATAAATATAATAAACAATGTAATGTTAGAATATTAACTTCCATAGCCTGCGCTTTTCTAAATATTTGAGGGACAAATCGCACATCGTGTGCGTTGGGTCCGTGACAAGTCCTAGGCGGACATTTTCATCACGATTCAGGGACGGGTCCACGAAGGACAAAAGTCCTTCGTCTGCGCAGGCCATATGAGTATATCGATTAGTGACAGTTAATACTCACAAGGATGTAGCTTCTGTGCAGCGATGTACTTCTCCAGCTTTCTCCTGAGGACTATCTCGGCGCCATATCGACCCACGGAACCGTTGTCTACCAGCAAAAAATACGCGTGCCTGTTGTTCAGCACTGCCAGCTTTGACCTGGACAAGCAATAAGCATGTACTTATAATATCCACTGTTAAATTTAAGTTTAGGTCTGTGACATAAAGAATTTATGTTTGGACTGTTTAGTGTCCACTAACTAGCCTTCAGGGTCCATCCACGATGCGAGGAAAATACAGCCACGAATCAACGATTGTTGCTGAATCGGACTCTTACAGATACGTCCATACAGTATTTGTTTGTGATTTACAAAAACTACAACAATATTTGCCAAGGATATGAAGTGGACAAACCTATTTGTAGTAGATAAAAAGTTAGCTAAGTAACCAGTCCAAGTCGTTTATTCAAGTTTATACCAAAAATATTTGCCATGAATTGAATTCTCTGTAAAATGATTTATTTATTTATCTACGCATGGAGTTAAAAAAGATTGTTAAATCTTTACTTATATCTGGAGAATTAAATGCTGAGTTTACCTATGAGTTAGACAAGTATAAGTTCAAGTTACCATTCCCACTATAAAAGAGTCCTCTTAGTCTTGTGACTACAGAGCTTCAAAATTTTAAAAAAAAACGTAAACATTTACGATTAGTTAGCCAAAACCGTGCACGACAAACAGAATTTGAAAAAGATACGCAACCGATGTACTACCAAACCATTAGCTTAGCTTGTACTGTGCAATGCCCTTTAGTTTAGACAAAGTTTTACCCCTTTTCCCGGCGTTTGTACGCGCGTCACGCAAAAACTGCTGAATGGATTGAAACGACACTCCTTGGTCGTAAATTTGAAAGCTCTAAAAGAAACTGGAATATTTTAAGGCGACATGAATGAAGAAGTCGGAGGTGATGGCATAATAGAGTTAGCTTGTATCTAAATCTTACTGAATAAACTTTGTTTATTTTTAAATTGTAACAATGCGTACAGATGCAACGATATAAATCCAGCATGAAACTTTAATTTAAACTTCAAAATATGTATTGCGTATATTACTTGGCAACTGGTTTATAGGGTAAATGATAATAAAACTAATTAAAAACGCATTACTGTATTATTAATAAATTAACTGGGTAATGCAATTTGAAATCAGATTGGATAGCAATCAGAATTTTACAGACGTATACTTAAATCAATCGGATCCAAGAAAAAACACATTCGGGTTGAAATCCTATACAATAGTCTTGAAACATGGATGATAGGTATGACATAATACTATAAACTATGCGATCTATGCATTTTTTATATACAAATAAGTTTAAGATACAAAAATGCGATAAAATTATTAAGACGCAGATGAGTAAACGTAAAGTGATATGTTTCAAGTATCAACATCAGCAAAAAAGAAATCTGTACCCTTAGCATGAATCTTTATCGAATTTGTAACGTTTGCGACTCCAAAATATCATTGTCAAATGTTTACAATTGACAAAGATATTTCGGACTCGCAAACTATTCGAATTCGATATTGGTTCGTGCTAAGGGTACAGATGTAAGAGGATGTTTCGGATTGGCACCCTATTACAAGATAATTGACAGGGCAGTGAATGGCATAAAAAAGGGGTTACATAAACGGATTTTAGGAGACTATTGATGAGTTTGGATAAAAAAATGCAAAATAAAGGAACACAGTAAAACGTGTCTTTTTTATATTCAGATATGCAAATGACTCTACCCCACCTGATGTTAAGTGGTGATAAAGTCCAAACGCGAAGGTAGCTGGTACAGTAGTTATACTATTATAACTGCTGTATGAGACTATTCTCATACCTGACCATAATTTAAGTTATGATTACTTAAAATAAATTTTTATTTAATTAAAATAAAATATATACCAGGTGCTAATTGGATTAGCACGCGGTTTCCGTATCATTTGTATAAGATTAAGCACTGATGATGATTGAATGATTATGCTTGTTCAAGAGCTCCTTTTTGTTTTTAAACCTTTGTTAGTGAAATTCTAAAGGGACCCTTGCAAAAATTTCAACTACTTATCTGTTTTTAAGGTTCATATGATACATTCGGAAGACGGAAGAAGGACGGCGGAAATTAAGTAATAGGGATTCGTTGTCCCTCTTCCAACACGGAACCGTAAAATAAAGATTAAAAGTTCGAACGACACTAAAATCTCGGCACTCCGAGTTTTTCTATTTCCCGTAAGCCGAGCATTCCTAGAAATGCATCACAAGCTGTGTAAACTCGATTAGTTGATTGGTTCACGTCCCGTCGGCTGGAGTGGTTTTTCGATTCAGAAGTTTTACGGCGATCTTATTTCCAACGGAGCTAGTAGTCAGAGCCAGTCTCTTTCCACATATATGAGATGCCTTCTTTACATTATGTCATCTGATGTGTTATATATTAGTTTATTATCTACTGGTCTAAATGGATATGAATATTGAAATGCTGGGACCCAGAATTTAAGAATTTAATTCTATATGAATAACTCAACTCGAAAACTTTACCTTTCCTACAACTATTCGCAATAACCTAACGATAAGCCGAGTTCACTAAACGTTTATTTTTATCGGGAATTGTCTACGGTTACTCGGGTAAAAACCGATAAATGAAACTATTGATATAAAGGATACTTTTTAAGATCTCCCTTTTCAGGGAAGGCAAAGGGAACAATGCCCATATAGCCTTGTCTTAAACATTACTGATCTTCTTTTTTTACATTAAAATGTGGGTGTGACCTATCTTAGAGCTTCTTGGAGTGTTTGGCACGAAATGTATCGAGTCGAAATGTTCTCGATAAGCTGCTGTAAGGTAGTGAACACTACAATAAAATTCTCACCTCCACTTGACCGAAATAGCATATGGTTTAAAGATTCCTAATTCTTCAGTTGCGCAGACAATGGTAACACAAAATCACACCAATTTCATATCAGAATATCCACTATGACCGAATTAAAGAATAATTAAAATAAGATGCCAATAAGACTCAATGAAATCGCGCCAGAAACTCTCAGGATACTTTTATTTCCCGAAAAATGTTATGTTCCTGGGAAATTTCAATAAACTGAAATTAACGCGAGTGAAGTCGCGGACGTAAAGCATAGTTTTCCAAAGTTCAGAGTACTACTGCAAATATGATGATAATATAAGTGAAACGCTGTTTTGGCAAATTCTGCAATAATGTTATCCATTTTATTGGCTGCGTTGTTCGTTTATGACATGTTTATGTATCGCCCAGAATGGAACATTTCAACATCTGCAAATCCCACAGGATAAGCCCAGCTTTGTGGCCATGAGGTCCCGTAATACGTGAATGTTCATTTTATTGGCAAATCCTTTCCAGTATACCTACACATACTCTGAAGTTATAAAGGAAAAAAAAGTTACAATTTGTAGTAGTTGCTTTCGTAAGATGCTTTTACTATAGCAGGCCACTCAGAAAGTTTTGCGAAAAAAAGTTTATCTGTTTAAGACACTGTCCACTTCTAATTATTTTGAAAACTTTGATCATTTAAAGTAAAAATACCACTGTTCGATTTTCAAATTTCCCTCCGCATTTTTTCGAGAGCCAATTATATTTTTCTTGTCTCATTAAAAAATGGATCTGCATCGAGAACATTTTCGTGCTATGGTTTTTTTACGATTTTAAATGCGACTCAAAACCTGATGAGCCATCTGATCGATTTCGAACTGCTTTTTGGATGAAGGACCTTCCCAAGCAACTATCTACCGCTGGTGTAGAGAGTTCAAACGCGGTCATCTTACTTTAGGGGATGAACAAAGAAGCTGCCACCGAAGAAAGTGTGCTGGGAATAAAAAAAAATAACCCAAATTCAGTATTAAAACACGATTCGAAATCTTTATTGCCAGCTTACATAATCATAAAATTGTAGGTTCAGAATAACAAAAAAATTCAAAACGCAATATCCCGTTTATTAACTTCATCACTTTTAATAGAATGCTCCGTAATGGCTAATGTTGCTTTACACAAATCGTATTTCATCGTATTTGTAACTCCGCATATAGCCTTTTTGGGGTTCCGTAGTGCTGACTAGGAACCCTTATAGTTTCGTAATGTCCGTCCCCGGTTTCGCTTGAAGACTATTAGCACTAGAGAGCTGTAATTTTGTGAAAAATAAATTCATGATATGAGTGCTTTTCATGAAGGTTTTAGAAAAATTATAACTGTTAAGACAGATCAGTTAGTTTAAGAGTGATAGTCGTTCAACTTATGTATAAAAAAATACTAAGGTGGAGTAATATGTTGCTTTTAAAGCGTGCACCTTGCTTTAATAAAATCTAAAAAAAACTATTAAAAAGACCACAATAAAATATCATTATTTGGCTTCTGAATCGTACTATCGTAAAGTTTTTATAAAGAGTATATGAGCACTTGAAACGCGCAGCATTCATTCGCGGTAGCCTATTCCACCACATAGGGAAGCGTAGTAAAATATCACTTATTTATTTATTTATCAACAATTATTGTAAATTATCAACTTGCATCTGCCCTATTATGACCTACTCGAGTGTTTGCTTCGCCGACGTACCTCCGTCGCGTCTTAAGCCCTTCGAAATGCTGCAAAATCGTGATTTTGCGCGGTGCCACGGGTTGCCCGTGGTATGTGCGCAATGACGATTTGCATCGCGATCTTAAGTTAGATTCCATCGCTAAGTACATGAAGGACGCCTCGAGACGTTACTTTGATAAAGCCCCGTTTGATAAAATCATCCGAACCCCTTAGTAGTCAAAGCCTATAGTTATCACACGTTCTCCACTCGTAGGTCCCTCCAATTCCATCGTCCTAAGCACGTCTTAGAATAAATACCCTGACGACGAAATCAACCGCGCCAACGCGTCTCTGACTCCTCCCACACAGGCCACAAACACAAACACTACACAGCTAGCACTCTAGCTTAGCATGCGGCAGACATCGCACCCGTAAGATAAGAGTGAGAAGACCTTTCTGGTATAGCGTGTGTTGTACACGCTTTACCAGGTACAGATACGTACTTTGGCGTACGACTAACTAGAGCCGAGGTCCTAGTTTAGAATCGCCCTCTAGTTGAGCCGACCCTCTCAGTTTCGAGTGGTCCAGAAACTCCAGACGGAGAGGAGACACCTTCCGTGGGGAGATGCCATCCACCTGGAATACCTCTAGAGACACTCGCCAATTCTCGGCTTGAGATCCCTTTAGGATCTCGCCGTCCCCAAACCCGGTGACGCTGTAAAGGTCATATACGACCAACAACATACACACTAAAAAAGCATACTCCTGATATTCAAGTTTGGAGTAAAGGTGCGCAACTTCGGAACCCTACGCTGCGCTTGGCATAACACGTACTTGGCCCGGTTTTTATTTTCAGCTAGCGAAGGTCCCAGAGTTATATTCAAACCTCAGTGAACATATGAACACAGGGTAAAACGGTCTATGGGTAAATACTGAAACGATGTTAATAAATATACTTAAAAATAAATCCCTCACAAATTTATGTGGGTGGATAGGATACGTAGGTTTCGAATCGTTCGTATGTATTATCTAACTTTATTCGTATAAATATTGAGTGTACGAATAGAATCCATACAAAAAAAACGTAACTATGTGTATAATGCGAGCCCTCTTTTCATAGTTACTAAGGTAACAAGCATTAGGGCGGAAGCTATTTTAAGATTCAAATCACAAACTTAATTTGCACTGAAGAAATTTATCCATTCAACAAAATTCTGCGAAAGATAACTTCGTTTTGGATATCTCTAATAATCACGTAGCATCAATTCGCAAAACACTGAGTATATACAAGTCACAGTGTATTCACAAGTGGATTAGCCGTCTTAAATCAAAATGTTACAAACCTAATCCATATTGACAAGAATCCTACACGTTTGTGTGGTTAATTATTATCTCCGTTTGTACGCCCTTTGATATGTGTTGTAAGGATTCTGATAATCTTATTTTATGTAATATGAGCTCCATAAAATGATTTTCTTTAACAATGAAAATGTTTTCGAGCTAATTTATCAACAGTTAATTATATTTTGGAATAAATACTCCCTTAAAATTAAATATTTACCAAACATCTTTGCCAGAATTGACTATATTGTTCATCTTGAGGCTGTGAGTGGGAGTAATATCTTCTCAGCCAGTTTATTACAAAGGCTAGCTATGTAAACAACCCATTGTCAAAAAAAATAACGCTAATCGCAATCTTGTTAATAATATTTTGCGAAGCTGACATAATATTTTTTTTTTCTAATTTGCCAAACAGGAAATCGCGGAAGAAGAAGATGGACAAGATACAAACGATGAGGTCCCGTTCGAGCAACAAACGTATTCATCTGAATACAATATAATGGTAGAGATGGAAGATCATCCTTCGGGCTCCAAGCGATATTCTCCCATAGAAGAGGAACCAAATAGAATCAACAAGCGACTGTGCACAGAGATTGAGGACGAATACGATGCCATTGGTGAGTTAATTGATAGAAAAAAAAGGAATTTTCAGAAAATTTTCTACGTACGTTTATATAGGATGTTACAAAAATACAAATAAAGCTTAAAGGGCGTTGAAGTCCATCATATAAGGAGTCTTCTCTAATTTTCTTAAAATATTTGCATGAAGTTTTTACTTTTTATAGAAACAGTTATTTTTAGTGATCCTCGCACTAGTGACGTGTCTTAAAATGATCGATATTTTTATTAATCATTAAAAATAACTGTTTTTATAAAAAGTTAAAACTTCATGCAAATATTTTAAGAAAATTAGAGAAGAGTCCTTATATGATGTACTTCAACTCCCTTCAAGCTTTATTTGTATTTTTATAACTATATATATACATATTTAGATTGTGTAGGAAAATCAAAATTTCTTACACATTTTCACGAGGTTGTAAAACATTCGTTTCAAAAATTTCAAGATACATTTCCAAGACAAGAGTACAGAATATTGATATCGATGCAGTTTAGTCAGAATAAAAATGTTTGATTACATAGTTGCGTTTGCTGCAGGTGTGAACGTTGCAGCAAAGCTCAGGACACTACCACCCAACATGAGGATACTAGCGGAGAAGCTGATCAACGACGTTCTGTTCCAAGCACAAGTCAACGGCCTTAATTCTTCTACAGTTATAACTACGACAGACCCTTTCAAGTAGACCTAAAATATCAAAGCTAAGCTAAGCTTCAATGTCAGAATAAATTTAAACGATTTAATGTTAAGATGAACACTGCTGATGTAAATAAATCACTTGTGCTACGCTTTAGATAAATATGTCTTATGGCTTGCGAAGATCAAATACTGTAAATTCCGTTAGAAATGATATTTAAAAATTGCTTGTATATTTCTTTTTAAATAATTTCTCTTGATTAAACTAGTCAAGTAAATATTTCAATTAGCCAGTTTCTGAAGTTAATTCAAATTCAAGTCGAAAAGGTACGCCATCGATTCGCAAATCCACAGCGGGAGACCTTGTACTGAAAAGAATCGGCAAAGAACTCAGCAAGGCCTGTTTTTCTCCCTGTATTTTTTTTAAATACAGAGACCTGAAGTTGAAAAATTATTTTAACATGAGATAAATGAACTGCTTTATGTTTAAATCTAAAGAATTTTTTTACTAGGAAAAAATGTACGCGGGCGGTAGCATAATGGTCAGTGCATTCGCCCGGGTAGCGAAGGATGCGGTTTCGAGTCCCGTCTGTAGCCTGGGCCACGTGGAAATTTTTTCTAGTAAAAAAAATCTTTAGGGTTAAAATAATGTTTTACTAGAAGTACATGAAATGAAAATTACAGATCACGGAGTCTTCGAAGGAGTAATATATTACCATATAACGGAATGGTTACTTTCTCTATGTTACAGATAAGCTTTTAGATAGTCGATGATTATAAACAAAATTTAAAAATCATCCAAAAAGCAAGACAAGTCGAGCAAATATTTCCGTTAAGATTTAAAATTCAAACCGATGATGCTGGAATATGTAAGCGATTTGAAAAGCAATTATATTTTCATTATCGCATTAAATTTTTTAAATTTTCCTTGGATTGAGTTTTTATCCTTGATCAACAATTTTTGGTTATTAAAATAAATAGGTACGTTAATGAATTTCGGACGAATCAACACTTTGATGAAGAATAAAAAGAATACTACGTAAACGAACAAAATCTTAAAAGCTCCAAATAATAAAAATAATAAAAGATGTGGCATGTATGTTTTTATGGGAAGTGAAGTTCCTTTTATTTTTCCAAATTCCCTAAGGAAACATAATTTCATACGAATTCAAATTGCTAGCAGCTAGTGTGCTTTTCTTTGAAGATATAAAATCCAACGTTGCCCATCATAAAAGAAATATTAATCTGTTCTTTACTTTTATACGCAAAAATGTTCTCACGTTTTATGCTTTCGACTTACTCGAGGTTGTGTATTAATTAACTTTTCATTCTTCCATAAAAAGGACCCGAAATACCTACTTAATTGTTTTGATCTTTTATTTCTGGCTATTTGTATTCTTAATTTTTGTTGTTCATTATGAAATCTTATATTCCTCAGGTTCCTAATAAATTGCTGTAAGATCTCAAAAACAGTATTTTCATTTACTGATTGCGCCCTTGATATTTATTTGTATTACAAACGACTATAAGAGGATAGTTTCATTACTTAGAATACCTGATTTCCCCCTCTTTATTTATGTATAAAAAATTACGAAAGTAATTGTGTCACATTGTTACGTGTTCACGCCTAAGCCCAAACTGCCAACTGATTTTGTTGAATTTTGGAAAGAAAATAAATAAAGGGAATCTCAAAGATAAATTTTTTACTTTTTGTGGCAAAAATAGAATTTAGGGGGTTAGAGAAATTAGCCAATGAAATTTGGAATGGTAAATTGCTTATTATACTCAAATGAAATGGCATAGCTCCGATAAGTTAAATATTATATATAACATTTTTGCCCCTTTAAGAGTTTTTAATTAGTGTTTTTTGTATGTGAAAATTAAACAATAATTCAAACTAAGATAAATCTGTCGATATACCTTGGTGAAGCGATGGCGTGGTACGGCACATCCCTGCCTTTCCCGATCAGCTCGCTGGCGCCTTCTACAATGCCCCATGGTGCGATACCGATGCTGACTACACGACCAGCTCTTTGAGACCTTTCTAGCTGTAACGCGTCCCCCACTTGACGAGTCACACCTAGGAAAAAATATTTATATTAGTAAGTTTGCTGTTGGTCGCAGATGACCTTTACACCGTCACTGGGTTTGGGGATGGCGAGATTCTAAGGGGACCTCAGGCCGAGAATTGCCGAGTGCCTCTAGAGGTATTCCAGGCGGATGGCATCTTCCTACGGGGGGAGTCTCCTCTCCGTCTTTAGCCTCTAGACCATTCGAACCTGAGGTGGTCAGCTTAACTAGAGGGCGTCCCTGAGACTGACCACATCTCCAGTTTCACGAGCACGTTTTGTATGTTTGTACCGAGTCCAAACCATCACTACCGCCGGTGTTGTTAATAAACCTCCATAGTATCCCATACCTAACTGACGACCGGACGTAGACACGGTGTAAAGCCGTGTCTAGAGCCGACGGCGACGGAAATCGTCTCGTTAACAAGCGCTCTTACCTAGCTTAGAGTGAAGAGATACTTAAGGAACCTCGAGGAGGGAAATAACAAGTGATTTATCGGTTGGATCTTACCAAGCTATTTTAATTTGGTAATGATTTAAAGATAGATATTTTCTTTTTAAATTACAGTAAATATTAAAAAGTATTACATAACATCAAAACAAAGAGTTTTGCAAATACCAGACAAAGAAAATTTAATACATATTACATGCCATCCACCCACACAGTACCGCAAAATACTGCTAAATGATTCAGTAAATTCTGCTGAAGACATATGAGGCCAATATCTTATGAATTGTTAGTAACAGCTCTACAAATTTCAACACAAAAGAATAAGAGCATACTCCAGTAAAATTACCTATTAAAATTATGGGCTAGTTTGCATAAAATCCTGTAGTTCTGATTTTTTGCAGACTAGTTAATTATGGTGGACCAATGAATAATCCAAAATTTGTGACCTCGAGTACCGAACGTAAATACGAGTATGTCCAAAATTTGGGCCAACATCATAATGAAGTCTGCTGGAAAAATCGGAACTACCGGATTTGACGCAAGCTCTGATGTATAAATTTACTGGTCTAAAACTTTGAAAAGCTTTATTTCGGAAACTACACACATCAAAAGTGTCTAGGGATCAAGCATTTTTATGCGGATTTCTTGAGATTGAGATGTGGCTTTGTAAAAAATTTATGATTTTATAAATTTATATGGATCCTTTTTGGTGCATTTCATAATTTGAATCAGGAACTGTGAATCAAATTCGAGTAAAAGATGAAAATCAGCTGTCAATATTTTCCCTATAAAAACATACAACGCATTGAAGACATTATTAGTGCTACTGTTTCCCTACTACTGATTAAAACCAACGTTATTATGGAGCGGCGACGTCATTTAAGCAGGGAAGAAATGCTCAGAGCCGTGGGAATGATAGAAGCTGGTTCCCGGCAACGTACTGTGGCTTTAGCTCTGAATACAAGTCAGAGTGTTATCAGTCGACTTTGGACACGATACCGAAGCACTGGTACCGTGGCTGAGCGCCATGGAGGACGGTATCGCTGCACCACACGGAGACAAGACCGATACATTCAAATCTTAACTCGAAGAGCTCCAACAATAACCGCCATGATGTTAGCCGTGAGGCTTCATCACTCTTCAGGGAACTTAATTAGCGACCAAACAGTCAGAAACCGCTTGCATGAAGTGAACCTTCATTCCCGAAGACCGCTACGGGTACCACCTATAGCAATGCACAATCGTAGGATTCGATATCAATGGGCTCTTGAACACAGAAATTGGGCAGAAGAACAATGGCGTTTCGTGTGCTTTTCTGATGAGTCTCGTTTTGGTATGAGACCGGATACAAGACGTATACGACACTGGAGAACCCCTGGACGCCAACAGCGATTAAAATCCTGCCAGGAAGTCCATCCTTATAGTGGTGGAACCATCATGGTATGGGCGGGTATTTGGATCGGCGGAAGAACTGAGTTGATTTGGATCAGAGGCAACCTCAACGCTCAAATTTATGCTGAGACGATTGTATCAGACGTCATCGTTCCTCTACAAGTGCAAATCGGTCCCTTATTTCAGTTAATGCATGATAATGCACGACCGCACACCGCAAGAGTTGTAAGACAGACTCTCGCCGCAGCTAACATCAATGTCCTGCCCTGGCCTGCTCAGTCGCCAGACTTGAACCCGATTGAGCATGCATGGGATATGCTACAGAGAAGAGCTCTGCCGAATATGGAGGGTATCCAGTCGCAAGAAGACCTTTTTTTGTTGTTGCAACGAACATGGGCGGCCATTCCACAGCGTGATTTGGATGAACTCATTTTGAGTATGCCAAACCGATGTTCTTGTGTTGTTAGTGTTCGCGGTAGAAATACGGATTATTAATTGTTTAAGTTACCCAATAAAATTTTAGAGAAAACTGTTATTTCAGTCTTTTTTTCGAACTTTTGTGTTAGTGGTTCAAATGTCAAAAATCCCTTTATTAGGAAAATGGCAAATTTCTTTATTAATGCAAAGGTGACTTGGTTTATCGTTACTGTGACAAACGAAAACACTTTATTTGATGAATCCTTAAAGAAAATTTTAATTAATATCAATCAGGAGAAAAGTTATTGCAAAAATATATGTTGATCCCTAGACACTTTTGATGTGTGTATTTGGTTTACAGAGACAGTTTCTATCTCACTTTGCAGCAAAATTAGTTTCTAACTAAGAAAACTAGCTTTTTAGGGTTATAATCACTAGATTCTGAAAACAAAATATTGTCAATTTTTGATATCGTTGCGTTCGATAGTAGAGGTCACAAATTTTAATTATTCATTGGGCCATCATCTTAAAAAAGTCTGCAAAAATCTGAGAGATTTTTTTTTTGTTTTCTTTCTTTCTTACTTAATTTTACTGGACTATATTGTTTGTGTTGTATTTTTATTCAGTGAGTAAAGTGCCCAGAACCCAACGGGGTAGCGGGTGGAGTTTTTAATTAGGGTAAACAAAGAATTAACTGTCTCTATCTAAAGATCTACGCTCTTGTCGGTGTGGTTTATGGATCTCCAGCCACCCCACCCCCCTGTTAAAGTCGATGCCAGCTTTCTTCTTAATTTGTCTCCTTTCCTTAGGCGTAGATGGCGCTGCTGTCACGTAAACATCGTCTCCTTGTTTTAAAACAATTTAATAATATTAAAAGTATTTTATTTTACTTAATTAATACATTTTTAAGTTCAACTTCTGAAGCGACATGTGTGAAAGTGTTATCCACCAAAATTTTATCCATCTAAAGTTAAAATTTGATAAAGTTAAATTGTAACCAGTGCCACAGTGAAAATAGTGTTAAAACAATTAAGATAAGTGCAAAACTATAAAATGTGATTCAGTGAACAGCAAAAGTGATTTAAGTACTATATATATTTGCATTTTTATAAATTAGTGGGAAAAAATATCCAACTGTTGAGTCATAAGTAACGGACATGATGAAATTCAAAATATATTAGTAGAAGTGAATTCATTATTTCGACAATATAGAACAGATACTGTTTGGTTTCGAGCGTTAACTTTTTACTTTCGATGGCACATGAAGTCATCATCTCAATAACCCAGGCTTCAATTCTAACAAAACATTACCAGATTTTCTTTTTTGTCATTTTGAATTTATTAGCAATAATTGCCTTTTTATTGCTGATTACATTTACTGCACTAATATATATGAAAATTGCGGCATTGATGACAATGACAAAAAAAAATATATGAATTAATATCCTTTTATTATCTTCATAAGCAAATATTACCAAAGGAGGATTAACGCCATCTTTCGGGGATCATCAAAACTGTTTAAAAAACCTGTGTTGGGTCATTGCTTACATCAACTTCCTATCAAATTCAAACACTTAGTACATGCAGTATGGCAACTCGACGCCAGATGGCGCTGTGTTATAAATGTGAGGAATCTATAACAGGGAAACAATTCCTTTCCTGTACATTATGCAAAAAGAAATTCCATGTACTATGTACGTCAGTCTCAGAAAAGAGATATAATTCATTTTATGCTGCAAATAATGAGCAAAAAGGTAAATGGACGTGTGAATTATGCCTTAAAAAATCTAAAAAGAATTACAACACTTCTTCACCCACTACGTCTCAGTATCACCGTGAGCTAAGGACCTCGCCAAAAAATTATATACCCGGACAAAAAAAAACCACAATAAATGTTTCCACGGAAAATTCTTTTCAGTCTTTAAGCACTGACGATGAGGAGGAATATGAAGATTCTAATGTTTTAAATCGTAACTGTCCAGGTTTTAAAAGCGAGCAGGTTGAACAAGTATCTGTAATGAGAAAGGCATTAACTGAGCTACAGTGTAAATTGGAAGTCGCTGACACTGAAATTAATAAATTGTTGCAAGAAAATTCATTGCTAAAATCACAATTACTTGATAGTGAGCAAAAAATAAAAAACTTGACGCGAATATGTGGATCAAATACTTCAAACTCTCCAGCTAAAACCAAAATTAAGCAGAAATTGACTCAGGAAATTAAAGATCAGGGTAAAAGTTTTTCATTTCTAAATGCCCAACAGAAAAGTACACCAATTCAAAAAACAAAGGTTATTGGGCAAAGTACAACAGATGCAATCACTAATACTAAGAAAACAATAACTTTAAACAGGACAACAAAAGAAAAATACGAAAAAAGGAAGCCAAGAGTCTTCATACTGGGTGACGAGCAATTACGAGGGGTTTCAGCCAAATTGACTAATTCAAGATCTGGGAAGATAAACGACACATACAAAATCTCTGGAACTATTAAACCTCATGCACCTTCTGTCTGTATATTAAATAATTTGGATACCCTAGCAAAGTCAATGTGTAGCGAAGATATATTAATTGTATCAGCTGGCAGTTATGATAATAATCCGCATATATTGTATTCTAATATCTGCAATACATTGTGTTATTTTCAGCATTGTAAAAAAATATTATTGCTAAGTATACCCTTTAATGAGTTATTGGATGTAAAAATATTAAATTCAGACCTGAAGTCCCTTTCTACAAATTATTCAAATTG